TTCACTCTTTTTAGTGATTACAGCTTATGAGCCTATACAAAAGTTTACTTACAAATGTGAAGTTTACTGAGATGAAATTATTAAGGAAACTTGGAAACCCTGCTTCTCATCATTATAATTGTACAGTAGGCACACTCACCTAAAATAGACAAGTTAGGACTAAGAATCAAACTCCGATAAAATCAGAATAATTTTATTATAAGTAAACATTACCGACAATAAACTAACATATATTAGAGACCAACTTGGTTAAACTTCATTTTATTACTCATTGCCTCCAAAGAATTTAATAATTTAGCGGTATTTCTATACAAACAGCTTGCCGGACGTAGAAATTTGCCAACAATCGATTTGATTAAGGCCCGAAAGTACGGTAACATTCAGTGTATATGAGATGAGCTTAACAACAGATTTATAAAATGAAGAGAACACTTCGTACTTATTTTTGAGGTGAGTTATTGGAATCTTTAAAATACGAGTAAAATTGGGGTATGATAAAAACTTCAGCATAAGTTCACAAAGTAAGTAGCACTCTTTTTTTTTTATGAAACAAGTTTAGAAGAAATGCCTCTTAAAATCAAGCGTCTAATGAATTGAGCAAAAATGTAGGCTGGAAGCATGATTATGCACGTTTTCGTTTGTGAAGTAGATTTTTTGAACCTGTATGCAAAGGTATTTCCGTCAGATCAAATTTAGTGACCTTTTAGGGAAGAGCAATGTTTCACGTCATTATGCGTAACCAATTAATAGGTTTGATGAGGCTATTAAGCTCAGATGGTCAGACCAGCAGCCCCCATTCTTGAATATGAATTTATGTTAATAAAGTTAGGACAGACATGCAGAACGTGAGGATGACCACCTTAGCCTTGACATCGAGACAAAATGCTTCAATCATTTGGTAGAGAAGAAATTGCGAAAAATTAATCCATGAAGATTTAAGATGTGAAGAACAAGATTTGGTAGCCTCTGATATGGTGGCATGACGGTGACAACACAAGGAAGCGGAAGATAAGGGGGGCCATTGACATCTTGGGGATAAAAATCTAATGAAACGGAGATTGGAGGTAGGTAGAGTTAGCGATAACTTTGTATACTGCCTAAGCAAACTAGAGGAAAACAAGAATAGAGCAAGAACAGCAAAAAAGAGACGCATGGATCAAGGATCTACCGCTAACAGAAGGAAAAGGGATCGCGATAAAGAAATTAGGGGGCAGGGGTTTTCGGCAATAAAGCGAAGACTTTGTCAGTGAGTAATGTCCATTTTGAATAAAGCCGAACAACTTTGGCGGCCTGGCAGTCAGGAAGCTGGGCAGACAGATAATGAAACCGCCAAGGAACTTCGGCGTTTTGACCAAAATGTACTAGAAATCCACTTGAGATGCCGCATGCGACCAAATATAGGCGTCCACAGTTTGCTCAGATAACATGGGTTTAATCAAGGAGACGACCCATGAAGGGAAGGCCTGATATCTGCAAAAATAGGAATCAGAGCTCAGGCGCTCTGCCTAACGAAGCGGCAGGGCCCTGAGAAATAGCGCCTCGAGTGAAATGCATACTGGGACAGGAACCGAGTGAAATCGGTCAACCAGAAAGAGAAGGAACGGATCTACGAGACAATGAGGGGATCCGGATTGGAGGCCCGAGTCGGATTGGGCGATCAAAAGAGAGGGGGTCGGGGTGAATAGCAAGTGTGATGAGGCCCCACTAGATTTGCCACAAAAAAGGCACATTTTTACGAGTGCAATGTAAACAAATGAGAAGTTGTGATAGGGCGGCAGTGGTATTAGAGGGTAAAGAGTAGATAGATAGGCCTGGACAGAAATTAGAGTGATAGTGTAGTCGAATGTTATAGAAAATCCGACTTTGCTTCATCGACAACCCCCCCCCAATATATAATATGGAAAAATGCCTGTCCTTCCCTGAAATTCAGATATCTTTATCATTTTAGACGAAATAGGATGAATATTTAAATTATCCACTGATAGTCTCTAAGAAGCCTACTTATAAAGGAGATATACTCAAAGGTTTGCCAATTGTGGTCAAGTAGTTAGATTAATTACCAAAGGTAATACTTCCTCTAACTCTCCATTTTAAATGTATGGGTATTGTAAAATTTATCAAGGCATTGCGAAAGTGTAATCGTGTGGAACATAATGAGCTTTTTGAGAAACTAAAGCTTATTTCCCTAAGTCTTTGCCGCACAAGGAGGTTACTTTGATTAAGATCCTTCTTTTCTTGTTTATTTCTCTACTTTAATGACATCGTGATCAGCAAGTAAAATTCAAGTCTTTTTCATCCGCCCAATGTCATGCTTAATTAGAACACGCTGCTAATTGGCATAATGGGAATACAAGTTTCAATGAAGAACTCCCCAAAATCAAGAGCCTCTGCAAGGGAAATAAGATCCAGGATTATTTTTATGGGATTATAGAGATTTGCATGCTTTTCCTTTGATTATTTAAGAAATAGGATAAGCGAAAATAAACGTCGCTAATTTATTGTAAAAACTTTGATCTGACTGAACATAAGCCAGAAACGATCTAGTTTTAACAACTGTTTGCTTTAAGACCATTCTAGAAGATACAACTATCTAAAAACGGTCTTTTTGAGCAAATTAAAGCAGGTGGCTTTGAGTAGGTATTAATTATCTCCTTGTTTGAGAAGGCGTACGCAGCTGGTACTTCGTTGTGAAAGCTATCATGAAACTACACGCAGTCAGGTAAATTCGCTTGGTTTTGGATTCAGAGCTTTAATCACAAAATCGATTATTAGTATCGAAACCTATCCACTATTAATACAGCTTGGTTTAGCTCCGTTAGCTACAGAAAAAAACTTAATTAGAAATGGCTTTTCATACTTTATGCGAATAATAATTAGTAATAAATTGGACAGGTTCAGCTTGAGTTTATCATTACAAATGTGCATATAAAAGTGAATGTCAATTTTTAGCCAAGTCCATAAGATTAATACCACTTTTAGCAGTGGAGAAAAATAACCTACCACGATAATGGAACGACGAAAAATAACTGTTCATGCAATCGTTAATGTAAGAACTATTATTCATATTAATGTGAGTTTAATATAGCACAGAATAGTGAAGTCTTAAATTAAAAAGGAAACAATATTTTACTATCTACAGTAGCTAGGAATCCAATATGCGCTACATTTTAAAGTATATATAATACTTTAATGGTAGATATAAAGACAAAGATGATTTGGCCTTTTGTGTGGTCGCAGTCTCCTTTCGTTGTATAGGCATAGTTCGACCTTGTTTTCGCAACTTGGTCATATTGGTAGGAAGACTCAAGGAAAGCCTCTAGTCCGAAGTCCATTGTATGCATGATAGTTTACAGACCGTGTACGTGGTACATTCCCAGACGTTTCGCAGGCATCGTCAGTAAGTCTTGCCATTCGTAACACAATACTACAACTCGTCAAAGAGACAAGTGAAGCCGATTCTTTGAACAAATATGTGCTAAACATTTATAGTATCTCTCCTTTTGTTCTGGGATATTTACCTTTCCTATATCCTCGTTTACGTCCTCACTATTACAATTCTTTACATGCTTATTTAAATGTGGTATGGCGTAACCTTTAGAGCGGATTTCATTAGAACTCTCCACACCACACGCTGGCGTTCTCACTCCCATTCACCTTTGTGCTGGAAATGCTGATTAGAGTTTGCCATTAAATTGCTGTTCAACAATGAACCTTATTAAAAGCAAGAAGTCCCACAACATTTGTAGGTTGGTATACAAGAGACTAGGGCATAGTAAGTCATAGACTTGGTATTAGGGATAAAAACAGGATAGATGCGATGGAGCCTGGAGCTAGTTGGCTGACAGTATGCCTGTTTTACCATAGACGTGGTCCATGTTTGACAATTACGCAAAGACTTTAGCCTCGAATTAGTCACCCAGACGCAGGTGGGTAATAACGCCTCGAGTAGCACAGATGGGGTGGCAGAGGTCAAATGAAATACTTGAACCAGGGAGATAGCAAACGGATTTTACGGGGCAAGAGAGAGAGACTCTGATAGGACCCAGGGAAGGACTACGTAACAATATGACAGACTCTGGTCAACATTCTTAGCATAAGGCTGAAGAGGGGTGAGAAAGCCAGCGTGGGGTGTGGAGAGTTCTCATGAAATCCTCTCTAAAGGCCACATCATACCGCATTTAAATAAGCAATTAAAAATTGTGATAGTGAAGGCGTGATATAGGGATATAGGAAAGGACCAGGGCAGGAGAGGTACCCCAACTGTTTAGCACACATTCAGTCAAATGATCGGCTTCACTTGCCTCTTTGATGAGTTGTAGTATGGTGCTACGAATGGCATTACTCACTGACGATGCCGGCGAAACGTCTGGGAATGTACCACGCCCATGGTCCTTCTCTGGAAATTATCATGCATACAATGGACTATGGACTAGATGCGTTCCTCTAAGTCTTCCTACCAATATGACCAAGTTACGAAAATAGTTCAAAATACTTTATGGACTGAATTGGTATTTTAAACTCACAAATTTTAAAATTAATTTCTAAATAGAAAAGTTGGCTGTAGGCCAAAGTACAGCTGAATCATTTAGATAATCTATCTGAGCAAATATTCACATCTGTCGGAGGAATAAATTAGGAAATCGCCTTAGTTATAGAATAATATAGACAGTACTTTACTAATCAATAAATTTTTTTAATTTATTCAACAATTAAGATTCAGCATTCAACCACATACAGGAATTTCATAATATTAAATAAATATATGTACAGATGTTCATTCTATAAAATGGAAAATATTACAGCAATCCAATAAGGTATAGTAACACTTAATCGAATAATAATTGTTATCGTGAAAGTGAAGTAAAATATAAGAATCTACAATGATATGAGCAAGCACAATCTTTACTATAAAGTCAAAAAGAAGTAAAAGAAATTGACCTGGAAGTGCCTCCGCCATTCGCTCATTGAATCTGATAGGTCAAGGGAATTAAATGACTGGTTCATGTACATTTTGAGCCCAACGACTTTGTGACATAGTGCTGCCACCTGGCTCGTACTTAATAATTCAGAGGAGACCGATGAATAAGGCAAACAGTTGGCTCGAGTAGCCCCAGCATAAAGACCGTAGTCACAACAGGCCTTTTGTTCGGCCAACCGGCTGATTTGGGAAAAGGTGGCCAAGTCTGTCAGTGCTGGTTGAGTGTTTGGCATAGCAAAAACGGTAACAAAGCCACCTGCTAGGGCGGAACGAGTCGCGGATGTCCAGTCCTCCTTATATTCGAACCCAGGTTCTCTGTAGAGAAGAAAGACGTATATATTAAAGGTTTTTAAATACAGTTCGATATGAGAGTTATCGGTTTTCGGAGCTAATAAAAGTTATGTAGCGGGTCTCACTAGGTAAAATGCTTAAGAAGTTTCAAAAAATTTAACAAATTCAAATATGCCTCTAAGGAAGATTGAGATCATTTTTCCAATTAGCGCAACTATTTCTCAGATGAAGAGGAAATTGAAAGCAAACATAGAATATTATCAAGGAAATTTTCATGAATTAAAATGAATTTTGCGCAGTAACTTTAAAATTAAATGTGCATTTTTTTACAAAGTTCAAATTGATGTATATAAAACGGTTTGTTTGTTTATGAATAAAAATTTTGACACTAAAGATTAAGAGGAACATGGAACAAGCTAAGACGGACAACAGAATGGGTATATATCAATCTAGAGGTCTCAAAGTAACAATCTGGAATAAGAACAAACGTCCTTTCGGATCACTAAAAATGATGTAGATTCTGATTGTTGAATTTACCAGAATGAAGTGAAAAGCATTCTTGTTTCCAATGAAGCACTATAAGTCTTACTTCTCTAAAGACGTTATCATCTAAATCGGACCTCGCATAAGTCTTATTAATAGCCGTAGCGGGATTCAGCGCAGGGCCATTAAGCAGAATAGTAATGTAGCCCTTTTATGTGCATAACCCGACTACGAATCCCACTTGGTCTATTGAATTACCTGGGAGAATTCAAAGTAAAATTCAAATGAATCGTTAGGCCTACAACTCCTTTACTTGTTTGAAATTTAATTTAGCAAACAAAGATTTATAAGAGACCATAGTGACCAAGCCCTAAAATGTGGCTGACTAGAAAGGCTTAGTCTTGTTAAGCGAAATCAGACCATCACAACGTCGTATCTTTGACTGAGCCAACCCTTCTCCTGGATGTCCTTCGCACATTTCCACCCATGTATGCCACCTCTACACACAGTGCTCCTTCCCCCTTCTGTATTTACAAATGTATAAGTCAATTGGGACTTCGCATAGGGAGGACTGCGCTCACTCAGTATCGCTGTACCAGAAAAAGTTTTCAACTGCCCTTTCATTCAGTCAGTACCTACAGGACTACCCTTGTTCTGCAGAAGCAGTGATTTTGCCACAGGACCGACTTAAAATCAAAGCCTTGTCAGCATTGAGCCCCAGCACCGTCCGACCATTGGTGCCGCTTCAACGTTGGCTAGAACATTTCAAAAGGCTATATGAGATGTATTCACCCTATTTCGTTTAAAATGATGAAGGACTCGTATTTGAATTTCTCATCGAAACTTTACTTATAAACAAAAAATTTCAAAAGGCTGCTTCTGTTGTTCTGCTACGATCCCTACTCATTCACCCTAATCACGGAACACATATAAAAGCCTCACTCCCATTACAGCCAACTAATTTTGTGCATCTTCCTCGCCACATTCTTCAGTCCTATAACTTTCTTACCAATCTCAGGATAGATCAAATGGTATCATTCAGAGGAAATTGATCATTTTAAAGAACTTAGAGTGGAAGTGTCCAACAATGAAATTGGTACGCCTCCTTATGACAACGAACTTTAATTAGCCTTGTCACCCAAAATATTTTATCGTCCAGAATGGATTGCAGTTAGACCTCGCGTGGATCTTACTTGTAACTCCTATGGCATCATAAGCTGGGTCGTGAGGCTAAGTTTGAGACATGTTACCACCGCGTAACACAGCCATGGGTGCCATAGGATCACATGGCAGAATAAAGAAGGTCAATTTTTAACATAAAAATTTATTGTGGATTAGTATATGAGGTAAAGGTGTAGTTGCCATTATTAGACTTCTTTACCTATATTCATATTGAGAGGATTTCTAAAGCATTATTAGACTTTAAGTAAGAACTGTAGACAATTCTAGATCGGATAAGATAATGAAGGACAGATTGTTGAATTGTTTCACGTGAAAATGAGTAGGACGAGCGATGCTAATGAATTTCGATTGCATTTGCGTCCAAAAAAGTTTTCCAGCCTTGCTTCGTTCGCATAAAATTGCGGCATTTTGCCACTGTTGTCATTTAAGTGTGGGACATTTCATCAATCAGTCTTTCATCGCCTCGCACTACCTAGGGAGATTACAACTCTTATTTAACTTTACAGATAATATCTAAACCAGATTAGTATTAATTTAATTAACGAAGTCAATTGAAATCGCAAATATAAGCTTGCCTCATCAACAAATCCACTATTATAGGAAGAGGCATGGGTTGCCTTGCAAGCCACTCAGTTAGCGACCGGCTTAAAGCGCAAAATCTGGTTAAAAAGCCCGTAAGGGATGCTGATAGCACCCATGTGGGGTCGAAACAGCAGTACCTATTGGATGAAAGAATTCCTTGTAAATCAATGCTCTGCAAAAATAATTGTCATCTTGAGACTTACTAATTCTATTGTGGGATAATTCACTTGCTATTTATGATCTTTTATATGTGCCCTTTGGTGACTACAGATCCAATTATTTAGTCTAAATCGAACTAAATATTAAAAAATACAAAAAAATGAGTCAATTTAATAATTCATGTGCAGAAGAAATTATATATACACGAAATTTCAAAATAGATAGAATTAACATACAAGAGGCACCAAGCAGGGTAAAATAAGAAACATATTTTTAAATTCAAAATTTCTAACCGGGTCACTAACAGTCGAATTTAGTGGTAAAAATATAGAGTTGATGATATATTTACTCGAAGACTGTATGCTATAGGGTAGGAGTGGTACAAGAGGGCAGGGAGTATATGGCTGGGCTAGAACAGAAATTGGTGTGATAGTACAGCCGTTTCGGCAGAGAGCTTTGGCGAGCTGTAGCTTGGTGCTGAGAATGGCAATACTCACTGACGATGCCAGCGAAACGTCTGAGAATGCACTAAACCAACAGTTTGACAATAGGAATTATAACTACTATAGCAAAGGACTTCCGACAAAGTACAAACAACTAAGTTGCCTTGGCAGCACGAGCAAATTACGAAAATGAGGTCCGGGACACTTCTATCTAGGAAAGGAGACTTTGACCAAAATAGCGGTCTTCTTATATAGGATGAAACATGCAAATACGAAGAAAAGGAGTGTTTCAAAGAATCTCCTGAGCTGAGAATGATGTAAAGACTTTTATATCAAAGATACGGTTTAGGTTTTATTGTAGGTATGAGCCTTAAATAAGTCCCATGGGCAAATTTCTCTAAGATATAGAAAAATAACTAGGTAAGCTAAAATGGTGAAAAAACAACTTTAGCTATGCAACCATTATTAAAAAAGGAGAATGTCAGGTCCGTTAATTATGCTCAAATCAACTATATAAATAATGTCGAAATCTGAAGACGTAAGAAACTTCAGCTTATTGATATCGAGTTTCAAGATAAAGAAAACGAAATTTATGTAGTGAGATGAGAAGATTGTTACAAGTCAACTGCTCAATATTTAAATGTTTTATATATAACCTAACTAGCAAAGGGATAAATATTTATCAGAGCTATATTTACCCTACTTCGTTTAAGATGACAAAGTACTGGAAGTTGAATTTTTCCACAATTATATGAGTAGGCGTCATATTTCCATTAAATTTTCCAAAGCCTTGCTTCCAAAAGAGCATTCTCATCCAGAGTGGATTGTTGTTTCGACCTCGCCTAGGTCTAGCCAGCACCTATAGAAAGACTCGAAATCTAATGGTGCTGTGTATAATATTGACATATTAACCACTACACCACAATGTTCCAAGATCCTTGTGTCACAGAGCAAAAGTTAATGTCAAGAAAACCTGGGTCTTTCTTATATAAAAATTCTATAGCTGGATTACGGAAAAAATAGTTTTGTTTGCCATAGAAGCCTACTATACAACTTATTTTTCGTATCATAAATAGTTTCTCGAGGCTATCAATAGATCTGACTTAAGAGCTACAGTCCATCCTGGATAAGAAAACCTTAAGGAAGCAAGGTTATGTGGAATTCAATGAAAACAAAAAGCCTACCCATATAGATGTTGGAAAAATTCAACCATCAGACATTCATCACCTCAAGCGAAATGTAATGAATAAAG